TGGCTGTTCTTCACGGTAATCTTCTGTGGAGTTTGCTCTGTTTAATGTTCCAGCGGGCACCGTGAGAATCTTCACTGGTCTGGATCCTCGCCAGTATCCATTGTTTCAGAGTGTTTAATCCCAGCGTTCTGCTGAGCTTGTAATGACATTCCTTGGTGGGCTCATTTGCATTTCCTTGATGAGTAATGAGGCTAATGAGGCTAAGCTCCCTCTCATCTGACTCTGCACCAGTTGTATTTCATTTGTATGAAGAGCGGGTTCAAATCTTTTACCAATTATTTTTCTTTTGAATTGTCCCGTTCTCGATTTGAAAGCGTGAGGTCTCAGGACAGAAGTCTTTTGTGATGGTGATTGTTAACAATACATTTCCCATCCTGCAATTTGTGCTTCCACTTTCCTGTGGGTGTGTCCTGCTGAACAGAAGGCCTTAGTTTTAACAGAGTTGAATTTATCAATGTTTCTTTTAGAGTCGGCACATCTTTACTCCAAGTACTTGAAGCGGTGGCAGGAAGATCTCTGTGAGTTCCAGGTCTGCCAGGGCTATATAGTGAAACCTTGTCTCAAAAAATAAATAAATATATTTTAAAAATCCTTTCTGTTTTAAGAATATGGAAATGCTCTTTTTAAAATGTTTTTATGATTTTCATATGTATGAGTGTTATGCCTCCATGTCTGTCTGCACAATGCATTCGTGCAATGCCCAAAGAAGACAAAAGATGGCATCAGTTCCCTGCAACTGGAGTTATTGATGGTTGTGAGCTGCCATGTGTGTGCTGAAAACCAAGCCGGGGTCCTCTGAAAGAATAGGTGTTCTTAACAACTGAGCCATCTCTCCAGCTCCAATATTCTGTACACTCAGAAATATTTGCACACCAATATCTGTGGTGGCACTATTCACAATGGCTAAGTTACAGAACCAATATTAGTGTGCCACATGGAACTGTTTTCAGATGTGAAAAAGAACAAGGTTATGTTGTGTATAGGGAAATGACTGTGACTGTAGACACTTAGAATAAACAATCAAGCTATTCTCAGAAAGATTGGTGTCACATATTTCCTCTCATTTGTAGTTCCTAGATTTTTATATAAATACATAAAACTGTATAATGTGTGTATTAGATGGGAAACATTGGGAACTGAACTAATGGAAGGGGAGGGAGACTAGAAGAGGGGAGACATGTGGATAGGCAGAATGTGTTTATTTATGTGTGATATACTTGTATGGGTTTTTTAAAAATCATAAATATTGAAAGCAAGTTCTTTCTCCAGCTCACTCAGAACTGACAATCATCCTCATCATCCTCTGCTGGCAACAAAGAAGCAAGGCCCCCCGGAGTTCATGCTGTCCTGATCAATATGCACCCTGAAGAGCTTCCTCTGTCGGGTGATGTTGGGTGATGTTCTCTCAAGTGCTGAGACTTATCTGCCTCACTTGCCATCTGCGGGCATCTCATCTTCCCACCAGGAGAACGCTGGCTCCCAGTTCTTTTGACGATAAGATTAGAGAGATGTGGAATTCAATCCTCCCTGGACATTTCTTATGCTCCCCAGGAAAGGAAGCAGCTTTGCAAGTAGTGAAAAAGGAAATTTTTCTCATCTTTCATCTATTGAAAAAGCACATTTTTGGGGAATGCTGAATGATCTCTTTATGCCTGTTTAGTCACTGGGTGGCACCCTCAAGACAAGGGTAGAGCTATAGAGACCGCTCAGTGGTTAAGAGCACTTGCTGCTCTTCCAGAGGACTAATGTGGTTCCCAGCCCCATGTACAGGCTCACAACTATCTCTAACTCCAGCTCCATGGGATCTGACACCCTCTCCTGGCCACTTTCAGCACTACACACACACACACACACACACACACACACACACACACACGTGCGTGCATGTGTGATATGGGTGCACACTTTGGGGTATGGAAGTATACATTTGTGCACATATGTAGCCCTAAGATTGATGTCAGGAATCATCTTTGATTTCTCTTCCACCTTATGTGGTAAGTTAAGATCTCTCAGCCAAACCCAGAGTTTGTCAATATGGCTAGTCTTGCTCAGAAAATCCCCTCTCTGCCTTCTGTGGCTGAAATAATTATCAGACTGCCACATCTACCCAGCACATACATGGATTTCTGGGGATCTGAACCCTGGTCCCCATGTTGGGGTGACAAGCACTTAAACACTGACCTATCTCCCCAGCCCTTCATTCTGGACTTAATGACAGAGAACCCCAATGTGAAATGTCATGCCAGTACTCATTCCCACGGCCTTTCTCCTAGGAATGCATCTCACAAAGTTTCACAAAGACACTTCTCTTGCACAAACATGTTTCTATATATGGGTCACTTGGTATCTACTTGTACATGTATATCCACAAGGCAAACAATGCTGGTGACCTAACTAATATGAGTGATCATTATATAGAGTTAAATACATAATATGAAATTTCATATAACCCAACAAACTGGTTTTCACCCTACAGACTGTTTTTGGTGAAGTGGACTTTCTAATGATATAAGCCATGATTTCTGTGATTTTCAGGAATTCATCAATGAGCAATTTCTAGGCAGAGTCTTTAAATAACTCACTGGCTTCTACAATGTCTGGCACAGTAGTCCTGGCTTAGTCGTTTCCGAAGATCTTAGGCTAATAATCGAAATCTGGCATCCATCACAAGAGTTTTATGATGTTAGTTTTTGTTTTTATTTATGTGTGTGCATCTGTGTGTGTGCGCGCAGGCCACATGTGTGCAAGTGCCTATGGAGTCCCAAAGAAGGTGTCAGATACCCTGCAACTTAAGATACAGGTGGCTGGGAGCTACTGGATGTGGGCACTGAAAACTGAACTTGGGTCTTCTGGGAGATCAGCAAGTGCTCTTAACCACTGAGCCATCTCTCTGGTCCCATGATATCTTCATCAAAATCCCTTTGAACAGGAGAATGAGCTGAATCCATTGACAAACAGCCCAGTCATCTTCACAGTTAATTCCAGCCTTCTCCCAATGATCACTCGAAATAGGAGCTAACACCCTCTGGCTGCAGAGGAGCCAAGCCATCAGGCTCAGCCTTACAAGCTAACTGAGACTTAATTAGGCAGGAATGTTGACTCGGATGTTTCAGAAAGTATTTACACAGCAAGAGTCAAGACAGGAATCTTTCTTCACAGCCTATTATACAGGGCTTCACAGGCGGTGAACGTTCAATAAATACTAACTGATTGCTCCTTAGAAATCTAGATGATTCTAGCAACTCAATTCCTTCTTTGCTGCTTGTGTATTGATTGACAAAGGCCAACATTCAATCCACCCACATGCACATCCATCCTGTCGCAGTCTGCACTGATGGGCTGCCTGCCGATGTGCCAGCTCTAATTCTAAAAGTGCATGTAAGTCTGCTTCTCTTGCTGAAGAGCTCAGTGCAAGCTGTATCACCCTTACCCTTTATTCTAGAGGAAATCTGTGGTTCTTATTTAGATAGTTCCGCACCAGGAATACAATAGTGTCAGCCCCAGGTTGCGGTGACCTCCACGGATGGCTGGACTCCTCCCACCTCAGTTCCTGCTTCTTGCATTTGGCAATGAGAGTTTGGAAAATGCTCAGGCCACCTAGATCACAGTCAGAAAGAGGTCGGTGGCTGAATGAGCAGGAACCGTAGGGACCCGTCCACTCCCTAAAGTTGTTTTGATTTCTCACACACCTGGAAGGAAGCAGCTCAGAATGGTCCTGGCCATTTAACTGTCAGTCACACCGAGCTTGACAGAATCAATTCAGCAAATGCCAATAGGAAGTGGCTACTAAAATAAGCTAATACCCAAACTTCAGGCACTCCCCATGAAACAGATTACATCACCTCAAATTTAGATGGTGCAATCCTCATACCTGGTATTTGGGGTTGTACCTGCTTTTGGAAACAAGCCCTTAAAGAGGTAGTTATGAGCTAGGTGCAGCAGTGCACACCTGCAACCCCAACACTTGGGCTGTTAAACTTGGGGGCTCACGAGTTCAAGGCCAGCCTGGGCTACATAGCAAGAGCCTATCTCAACCATCACCCCTTAATATAGGTAATTAAAGTAAAATAAGATGAAGCCCAACTCACTTTTGGTGCTCTCGTAAGAAAAGTCAATGAAGTCACAGTCACTGTGAAAGTACCATGAGAAGACACTGAATGATGACCATACACAAGCCAAGCAGAGATCTTAGAAAAAAAAAAAAATCAAGTCTGCCATCTTAGTCTAGGGACTTCTAAAGCCCCCAATTGCAGGAGAGTTAATTTCTATGAAATTAAACCACGCAGCCTGTGGTCTTTTGTGATGGCCTCCCTAGCAAACTAACCCAGGCAGCAAAGAGCCTGGGACCAATGGCGATCCCTCCCCATAGTCAGCATCATAAATGGGCACAGGGGTAAATACTCACAACTGTTGAATAGAGAATATTAGGGAGACAGTGGAGCCCTGTTCTTTTGCTCATTCATTCACAGTATCACATCAGTTCTTAGCTGCATAATGAACCACGTAAAATTTAGCCACTTAAAACAACCACATTCGTGTGTCCACAGCTCTGCAGGGCAGCAGTCCAGGCTGAGAGCATCTGTGCAGGCAGGCTCTGCTGCAAATTCATTCAGGCAGCTCCCATCAGCTGACTGTTTGTCCAGGAGGGATGCTAGAAAACAGCCCCGTTCACACACCAAGCGACTGGTGCTGGCTGTTGCCTGCAGTGCTGTGATTTTCCAGCTCCGGCAGGCTGGCCAAAGATGCTTTGCATGGTGGACTCTGGCCAGCAATCTGACAGGGCAATAGTGGTAACTGTGAAGCTCCTGGAGGCTAGATACAGAATTCTCTCAAACTAAGTCATGAGGTCAGATCAATGACGGGGAAAAGTGAGGCCACTTCTTGATGGGAGGAGCACTAAAGCCCCAGTGCCCAGGTGTTAAGTGTCTGCCCAAGGAGGTAGTTTCCACGCAGCTTTCCCAGCATGCACCTCGCTTCCCTTTGCGCTGTCAGTATCATCTCCCCAGTGCTAAAACAGGCGTGTCGTAGTTGCCTTTCCTGTTGCTATGATAAAATGCCTGGACAAAAGCAGCTGGAGGAGGGAAGGTTTTATTTTAACACACAGGTCAAGGGTGCAGCGTACCGAGGTGTAGAGCCATGACTGCAAGGGAGAGCCGGAGCTGATCACTTTTCCGCGGTAAGGAAGCAGAGGATGATTGGCGATGCTCAACCCCATTTCTCCAGGCTCCCACCCAGCCTATGGGATGGGGTCACCCACAGTGAAGGTGGGTCTTTCTACCTCAACTAACCTCATCTAGAGAATGCCTCCTAGGCATGCTCAGAGTCTAGCCTAACCTATACGCCCTCGTGGGTGTACCCAGAGGCTTGTCTTGGGTGATTCCTGATCTTGTCAAGTTGGCAATCAGTATTAACCATCATGCTGTTTATTGAGAAGAACAGGGCCAGCTTCATGGGTGATCCATTCATCCATTCCACAATAAAGTATGAAATGAAACATCTGCTCTGAAGAAGGGTTCTCAGGCACCGTTAAGGGTCGGGGCAGCTTGTAGGGGATGTAACAGTAGAAGACGGGTGGACGTACATGGCCATGGGTACGTGGGACTACCACAGTGAAGCCCATTAATATTGGTGTGATAAATATGTATTCATAATTATATTTTAAAAAGCATGTTAGGACTGGTGAGATGGTTTAGTGGGTAAAGGCAAGTGCCACCAAGCCTGATGACCCAAGTATGATCCCCAGGACCCATGTGATATTAGGAGAGAACCAACTCCTGTGGGGTGTCCTCAGGCCATCACCTGTACACCGTGGCACATACACACACACACACACACACACACACACACACAAATAAATAAAGTAGAAATACATTTTTTAATTTTTAAAAAATTTAAAACAAGCCTGGAAACACAAGGGTAAGACACATGATGCCCACCTTGAAGTAAATTTCAGTTGCTATGGATTTATAAATGTCAATAAGTATATCTAAACAGTTGTGTACCCAATACTCTCTCTGTCCCAGGGAGGAGAAAAGGGGGTTTCATAAAGAACATGGTCATGTCCTAAGCTCAGAACAGTGCAGTCCTTGCCATTTGTGATAAGAAGATTCGAGAACAGAAGACAGCACCATCCAGGGGCAAGGTCAGGAGGAAGCCAATGCCCCACTGCATGAGTGTCTCCATAGCAACAAAGGAACAGTGAGAGCTTTCAGGTAAGTTGTGTGCTTGAACTCTCATGCTAGTAACTTGGTAAAATGTTTAGGATGCTCTGGAGAAAGGAACTGGCCTTTTCCAGTTAAGATATCGTAGTTGCAAACAGTAGAACACAACTCTGACTGGCTGAATATAAGAGGAATATTCATCAAAGATAACTGTGGCCCATAGAGGGTGGTGGGAACTAGAGACCCAGGCTTGTTACTCTACGAAAGGGAATAGTTCCACCAAGCACAATAACAACACCTAATCAACTGTCTGTCCCCTCCACTGGCCATTGCTGACAGACACAGGGATCCCAAAGTCTAGGCTTTGGGAGAGAAATTTCAATCAGCGGAACTCAGGCTACACCAGAGCTGAGATAGAGTCCCCAAGGATCACTCCAAGAGTCATAAGTGAGGGGTCCAGAGCCCACTTTACTGCGTCCTAAAACAGAAGGAAACCAGGACGCTGTCCAGAGGCAGAATGGAAGCAGAGGCCATCAAAACTGCAGAGCAGGCCTAGGGATGTAGCAATCCCAGTGGTGCTGAAGAAGCAAGATAGGCTAGCTGAATCTCTGAACTCCAGGCTCAGTAAGAGAGACCCTGCTGCAAAAAAATAAGTTGGTGAGAAATCAATGCAGACACTTGACATAGACCTCTGGCATCACATGCATGCATAGAAATACATGGGCACCTCTATACACACACACACACACACACACACACACACACACACACATATTAAAGTGTCCCTCACAAGTTCCTGTAAGTGGTTTCCATCCAATAGGTTATTTGGGAGATTCTGGAAACTTTGGGAGGCGGGGCCTAGTTAGAAGAAGTAGGTCATTGGGGGCATGCCTTCGATGGTTGTGCCTGGTTTCTGCCCCAGCTTTCCTCGTGGTCCTCTGTCTATCAGGGACATGAGTAGCCTCTGTCAAAAGCTCCCAAGGACTAGCTGGAAATCTCTATAGTTGCAGCTAAAATAATAATAATAATAATAATAATAACCACCCTTCTCCTTGAGTTGTCCTGTCAAGTATTCGTTCTCATCATGATAAAACTCACTGAATCTAGGAGCAAAGGTGGCTTGGACATCCAGAATTCAGCACAGAGAATTCCAGAAACCAACATTTCTGTATTTGTCTGAGTAAATGCTCACAAACAGTTGGAGCTTAATTGCTATGCGGAGACAGTCTACCCTCTGATTTCACAGTTAGAAATGAGTGTTGATGGAGAGGTCTACCATCTATAATATGCTCATGAATAAATAAGAATAGACAGGGAGCATGTTAATGCAGGTATGTAAATGAGAATGTCAAAGGCAGCTCCTACTCCTAGAACCACTCTGTCCTCCTAAACAACAGCGTGTCCTTAATAATGCTTTTGTAGCCTCTGCAAAGGGGGCTCCTATCTCCGGTGGATATGATCACAAACTACAAATGAAGAAAGTGAAGTTGAACCTGATTTTCTTTTTCTTACAGGGCTACACGAAAACTTCAACCAGCCCCTTCCAGCTCCACCAGGAACTTGAGTCCCTCAGCTTCAATTCCGCTGGGTTCATCTCCAGGAGTAAAAGGCTTGTTGACAGAAGAGCGTTTGTTATTTCTCCTCTTGCTGAAAAAGAACGTGTGGCACTTCAAAGTTTAAGCATATTATCAAGGGCGCCAGGAAACCAGTCAGCACCGCGTGGAAATTCCTGGCTAGAGAAACTTGCTGTCTTTCCTCCAGTCCTGTGAACACTGCAACGTCTTTAGATGAGTAACAACTTCTGCTAAGAACCTGAGCTACCGCTCATCAGGCTACGGTTCCATAATTAGTGGCGGAAGCCAGGCTAGAAGCTGCTCTCTGGCTGCAGAATTGGCAAGATCAGAAATAAATGGTGCCATAAAGATCCCATGTCTTTCATTAATGCTGAAGCTGAGACTTTATTTATAAGGAGATTCTAAATTCCAGGCCAGTCTCACTGACCGCCCTTGATGGAGGTAGCCCGTTTGTCATGTTAATGAAGAGGGCACTTCCAGGTTCCACGAAGACTCCGCCCCGCACCCCACCTCACCACCACCCCCAACACACACACACACAGCTGAAGAGGAAGCAAGACATTGCAGGTAAGGGAGGAAGCTGGGGTGAGCACAGAATCCCCGCCCCTTCAGTTCTGTCCCCACTGGGTTAGAGACGGAAAAGCCCTGCCAGGCGCCAAAACGCAGCCTGTCAACCACGCAGAGTTCTGAACTACATCAGAATCCCCTCAAATAGCTGTAAAGACATGATTGGAGCCAATAAGATGCCTCAGTGGGTAAAAACTGAGGACCTGAGTTCAATCCTCCAGACCCATATAGTAGAAGGAGAGAACTAACTCCCCAAGGTTGCCCTCTGACCTCCACACATGCTCCAACACACACACACACACACACACACACACACACACACACACAGTGAAAGCAATTTAAAATACTGAGAGTCCCATGTGCCACATTCTGAGGATCTCTGTCAGCTCAGAACACGGACTGGCAGCCAGACAGACCTGACTTTCAATCCTAATTCCATCCCTTAGTCACTGTGTAAACTCCCACCTGAGACTTAATTCATCTGAGCCTCTATTTCCTCACAAGCAAAATAGAAATAATTGCAGAGATGTTCTAAGAAATACAAAGTAGGAGAGTTAAGCATATTGCCTGTCCAGAAAAAAAAAAAAAAACACTCAAACTAATCTTTCTATTCAATCCTCATCTCAATACCCTCCTAAAATCCGTCTGCACCTGTTGGTATTTATCTCCTAGGTTTCTAAAACGTTGGCTTGCTCCCTTTTCTTGCAACCTTCCTCCTGGGAAATACCGCGGGCTCAGGGCTTCCCACTTCCGCAAGCAAGAGGCCACTGGCCAAACTAGTCCTCTGCTGCCATCTTGTGGTCTTAACTTACCTAACACCTTCCTGGCTAACCTTGTGACAGTGTATGCAAAGCAGCCAGAAGTGGCGCCCACACAGGATGCTCAGTGGATTTGAGCACCATGGGGAAGCGTTCTCAACAAAGGCAGTTCCAGAGCCAAGGTAAATCCTGAGGGCTGCAGAACGGCAGAAAGGGACTTGGATCAGAACCAGAAAACCGTGAAAGCTATGTCTAGTGTTCGTGAGCAACGTCCTGGATGATCCTATGGACCCTACACATGGTCTGGTCAGTGCCGCCCTGAGCAGCCTGTAGACAGTTCTGCAGACTCCTGGACTCTCATCCTTTCTGATTGCTCTTGTAGCTGAGGTTGCCAAAGCCAAATTAGGGACAAGACGCCCAACAGACCCTAGTCATAGCAAGTCAGGAGAGGAGGAAGAATTATAATGTTGACATTCCAGTAGGCAATAAATGCATACCCCAGGATGGAGAGGTAACTCGGTCAATAAAGTGCCTGCTGCATAAGCATGAGGATTCGAATTTGGATCCCCGGAATCCATGTAATACCCTGTATGGTAATACATCTATAATCCCAGCCCTCAATAACAGACACAAAAAGATCTCTGGAGCTAACTGGCTGGCCAGTCTACCCAATCAATGAGCTCCAGGTTTGTTGATGCTCTGCCTCAAAGAATAAGGTAGAAGAATGCGTCTTTCAAGCTTCCAAAGGAGAGAAGTAACCAACAGTCCTACGTCGTTGTGATGCCTATGAACCACAACAACCAGAATGGCACGATAACCCATGGGTGCAGCAGTGGCGTGCGGACCTTGGGAGTAACCAACAGCTCTCTAATTGGACTTAAGACCCACTCACCAATAGGGAAATCATGCCTGCACTGGAAACGTAGTCCTCTACGCCGGACTGATGAAGTCATGGATCTCAGAGGAGAACCTACAACCTCCATTTTGAGGTTTCCTATGCTCAAGAGACCACCCAGTGTCTCAGTTCATTTCCCGTTGCCTGCACAAGATGTAGAACTCTCGGTTACCTCTCCAATACCCTGTCTGCCTGCCCACTGCCATGTCCTACCATGATGATAGTGGACTGAACCTCTGAACTGTAAGCCACCCAATTAAATATTTCCCTTTATAAGAGTTGCCATGATCATGGTGTCTCTTCACAGCAATAGAAACTCTAACTAAGACATTATATTTCCTGGTAACGTCAGATGCTACACCTATAAAGTCTCACTGACATGACCACCTAAACATGAACTAAACAAAGGCAACACCAGTAGACATACCAAAGTGGACAGGAGAAAGACCATGAGACTTCAGTCCTGCACAAAAAACTACAGGTAAAGGATGCTAAGAGTGGAAGAAATAGTCATCCCCAGGGAAGAGCACAACTGGCGCCGAAAACAGGAGAAAGAAAGCCAGCTCCAGATAGCTGCCCTCATCCCTCACATACAGGGCATTTGGCAATGCAGCAAGGAGCATCCCCCAGGGAAAGGAGGTACCATCTGTGCATTCACGCAGGTTCATAATCTTCAGAAGGGATGCACTTCCATCCCTCCTAAACCCCAGTGGGCCTGACTAAAGAGAAAGACACTTTCACCTGTCCCCAGCAGTCAGGGTTGGAAGAGCCTCTCCACAGGAGCACCTCGGCCTTTCTCTTCTGTCAGAACCATCAGCTGGAACCGTGCTCAGAATAGCAGCCATTTTTTGAGGCTAGGTTGGTAAATAGTTGGTTTGGGTTTGGGTTTTTGTTTGTCTATTTGTTGATTTTCTTTGGAGCATGGATTACTTGGCATCTCTTTGTCCTCATTTTTTGGGGAGCCTTTAGGCTTTAATTCTGGACAACAACAGGATCTGTGACTGAAGCCGTCCAGGCCAGCATTCATGAGAGAGCCCCTAATACAGTAAGGACCATTAATCTTTTCCCAATGGCTGGCACTAGTTTGACCTAAACCTGTGTTTGTCAGGGTACCACCATAGCTGTGGCAGGTGCCTGCAGAGGTTAGGTAGCTGTGAGAACCCCACCTCAGTCTAGCAGAAGCAGCAAGACAAAGCAAGGACTAACCAAGGGGCAGGGAATATAGACACAAGCAAGGAAATATAGGGTCTCTGTGGGTGAACCTGGGGGCTTGGGAGTTATCTGTCTGCTACCTCACCAAACAAGTACCCTGAATTTTTACTCCTTTTAACTCTTGTACTTAATAATGTTGGATCATATTTAAGAAGGCATGATAAACTTGACAAAGATGCATCAAACGACTTGACCAAAACCATATGGTATGAGACTCTCCCCTAGGACAAGGCATTCTATCAAAAATTCAAATAGCATCTAGCTACTTACCCTGCTTCAAGCACTCATGAGCAAGGCTTCAGGCATGAGAGGTCGGTGAACCCTGTACACATTAAGTTTGGGTAGCAGGAGGAATGTTCCAGAACAGAAGGGATGCTAAGCGAGAAAGGGCTGAGTTTAGCACAGTGCACAATAATACAAGCCCTGGGTATCCAGACAAAGGGCAAGAGGATGCTGACTACAGGAGCCATCAACCAACAGGAGGCAAAAATACCTCTTGTCTCCCGCTTCTTCGTGGAGATCACAAATGTGCCCAAATGCACTATGGGAGAACACCTTAACACTGAAACTTGCCATCAAACTTTCCGAGAAAAAAGAAGAAAAGAAGCAAGGGAAGATAAGATTTCCTGGACTGGTTTTAAGCACTTTTGTGTTGTTCTAACTTGTCTTAGCAGCGTGGAGACTTTCTCCTTTAGAGCTCGGGGCTTCAAAGCAGCCTTTGTTTTCATGCACAGTATTGATTTGGATTCTCAGGAGGATCTCCTGACATCTCTCCACACCTTAGCTGATTAATCCAACAAGTCCAGCAGGCCCCTCCACTCACTGACAGGGAAAGGGAGGTACAGAGAAATTCAGAGCATCCTCTGAGGTAACGAAACCCCTCCAGAGTGGAGCAAGGCGCTGAATACCAAATCTGGACCTAGGCTGTGCAGGCTGCTTCTAACACCATAGTGTTTGTAGCTTGGAGAATAGGCTCTTGAAAGAGGCCATGAATTTTCATATTCTCTGCCTCCTACCTCAGATAACTCCCACCTACCTAAGAACCCCAACTTAAGGTAACCCTCTACCTGAGGTAACCCACACCTTAAGTAACTTTATCCGGTGCAAAGCCATCACGCCTTCCTGGCCTCGTTTGCTTGTTCTTCGCATCCCATGCTGTTGGTATTTCAGGATGGTAAATGTATCTTGGAACCCAGGAAGGCAGCCTAGGTGGGTTCTGAGTACCCCCTTCCTTCTCGGTATGCATTTATGACGCAGAGAGAGAAGCATCCCAGATCAGCTGCTAAGCTCTCAGTGTGGGTTTTGAGGGGTCATGGTCTGGTATCAGCCTTGAACAAGCATGTCCAGCAAATTCTGCAGGCTGTCTGCATCATACAATTCATGGATGGTTGCTGTTTTAGGGGAAGCAAGCAGCTGATAATAGAATTCTCTTTAATTTTATTGCTTTAATTTTTTTTTTTTTTACTTTCTAAGACTAGGTTACAAAGTACAAAAATATATTTCTGACAAAAGGCATTTTTTGTGGTGCTGGGACCTATGTGTCCCAGCAAATGAGCCTGGGTGGAGCGAGCCGGGCTCAATGACTGAAGAATACCAGCTGCACCTGCAAGACTGAGGATCTGGGTTTCATCCCCAAGACCCAAGTAAAAAGCCAGACGCTGGGGGTGGCCAGCCTGGTGCACACTGCACAGGGGCAGACACTGGGGGTGGCCAGCCTGGTGCACACTGCGCAGAGGCAGATGCTGGGGGTGGCCAGCCTGGATCACACTGGGCAGGGGCAGACGCTGGGGGTGGCCAGCCTGGATCACACTGCGCAGGGGCAAAAACAAGAGAGCCTGTGCCTCAAAAAGGTGGAAGGCAATAACCTCTCTCTCTCT